GATTTCCAACTGACATAGGACCCTGAGAAGCAAAATCAGGTTAACCTTGAATCTGATTAGGTTTCTAATCCAAACACTTTGGAGCAAGTTACCTTATTGATCAGGTGGAGCTCCAGTTCAAGTTGAGATCTCAATATTCATATTGCTAGTAAAAGGCCCAATTTAGACGGCTTTTCATATCATGTCCTATTATATTTTGGATATGCTGGAAGGAGATTGTGCTTTATCGATGCCACAGATACTCCCTAGCCTTTCTTTTTAAATTAATGTTAATTGATTCAGTTATGAGTCTATACTTCCTAGTCAATACCTCTGTGTATCGTATTTAAATTAATACATATATATATATATATATATATTTATTTATTTATTTTGATTTTGATTTTAGGGCATGTTTTAACCATATTTTTTATTAAAAAAAAAGAATGATTCCCAAAACACCTTTAAATAAGTGTATTATAAAATCACCGATTCCATACGATACGCCCAATACAGTACAGTACAGGGCATATTGTATCAAAGTTTTAAACCTTGCTTCCAAGTGATCACTCTCCAAATGTGATTACCTATCAGCCCTGTCTCATCAATTGGTGACGATATAATGTTTTATTATATTCTAACTTAACAACTTCTGAAATTTTTGGCAATTTAAGAAATCTGGATTTTCCCATCTCTCATCTATTTTCAGCATTGTTTGGCTGGGCTGGGTTTGCAGTTGACCAATGCCATCGAGAACTTAACTACAAGGTATGGCTGTTGGAAACTTTTTTATGTTACAAATCCCAACGATGGAGGGCTAAATAAATGCTATGTTAATCTCTTAATTATTTCTATATTCCATTGACTTACATTGATTGCTTCTCAGGTCATTTCCAGGGTAGCTTACTTCTTGAATGATTATGATTAGAAAATTGTGCCAGAACCACCTACACAGAACAATTTCTTCAACAATCACTCCTTTTGTCCAGATTCTGGATCATCGAGGCTTCAACTTCTCTTGTTTTGTTGCAAATTTCTCTCATTAAACAAGATTGCTGGTCCCCATCATGCATGGTGAGAGAGGGAAGAATAAATAAACAGCACCCTCTCATTATTTCCTTTGGATGGATTGGACGGACCGATAAGACATATGTTGAATTGGATCAATCTAGATTGGATCCTTAGTGAATTTACATTGGATTGAGCCAATATGATAAAAGATAAAATATAAGAATATAGGTGTCAATGGACCAAGTTTGAGTAAGAATTAATCTAACTTAAAATAAATTTATAAAGATTGGACGAGATCCAGACAGTGAATTGGACCAGTACAAAATATTCATTAGATTGGATTGGATCTTGTCCTTCACATTGAACTGGATCAGATTGGACCAAATCCAGCCCAATTGAATCCAATCATGAACCCGATTGTCAAATCAATGGCTGAAATTGTTTCAATGCATTTTCCATACTAATAACAACCAAAACTCAAATCCAACAGCTAGAATCTACAAATAAACAAATCTGACGGTTCAGATTTGTTTTTCCCCTATGCAACATATCACCTAGACAAAATAATGCACAAAAATGGCAGATGGCGAGAGATGGAGAAGAAATACGGCGGTTTGAGGGAGGTGGAAGAAAGCCTAACGTTAGGGTTTTAGTGCATACCCCATTCATACACCACGAAGCGCCATAACCTTTTTTATGCAAGCCACAACATCCGCCAGATAGGATCCACGTCATTATGCCATTGGAGGCAACGCAGGAGCATTGCGGGACGTTCTCTTTTTTGAGATAAATACACCCAAATAACTCCCATTTATCAAAAATAAATGTACAGGGACCCGCACCAACCCTTGTCAGAATGGAGAAATGATTTCTGCCATCATGAACATGAACCCATAGTTGGAACTTGGAAGCGCCATTATTGGTTGCTTGATTTGTGTGAAAGTTGAAGGAATGTTTGTCTAAAACCACGGGCCAAGCCAATTGAAAATGGGCACCTCTCTTTTCAATCGTATCCACTTGAAGCTCATCTCTACAATAAGGACAAATGGGCAAATGGCATGTCAAGGGCCCCTCACTCTAACATTTCTTATTATTTCCCCGTTCCCGACAGCTATCCGGGCTCCTCAATTCATAATAATGCCCAATCCGACCAAACCGATCAACCCAAACCGACCCAATCCGAGTTGGCCGGATTTTCATCAGTACTGATCGGTTTCGGGTTGGGCAAATATATAAACCAATAGATCGGGTCGGTTTCAGTTTTCTTGTGTAAAAACCAAAACCAATCCGATCCGAACCGAACTAGTCTTCTACTACTAGTTCGGTAGTTCCTATTTTGAATAGTTTCCTACTTAACTATAACTAGTATTCTACTAGAACTATAAGGCCCATTAGGCAATTACAATTAGAATAGACAATCTATCATAGTTTCTAACTTTCTATAATCTTTTACACCAAATAAGCAACCCATTAGACAATTACAATTAGAATTCAATTAAGTGTCCTTTTGTACAGGAGCAAAACCAAAACCGACCCAAACCAACCTAAGCTGACTCAAACCGACCAAATCGGTTTAGCCTATCAGTAAATCGGTTTCAGTTTCCACCTCAGATAACCCGACTAAATCGGGTCGGTTGGGAAAACCCAAATAAACCGACCCAACCCGACCCGTGAAGACCCCTAATATAAGGAGTGTTTTAACAGGGTCAAGGTCGGGGATGGGGCTAACACGCAATCCCCCAATTGGATTTGGGGATGGGGAATGCAATTCCTGCCCCCCCCCCCCCCCGGCTCCGATTAATATAATATTATATATATTATTTATATAACATTTATATTATAATAACAATTAATTAAACATTATACAAATTACAAAAACTCAAAAAGAGTAAAAAAATAAGACTAAAGGACAAAAACTTAAAAAGAACTCTCGAGTCTCTTGCCTCTTCTACTATTACTTGACAGACAAAGAAGATTAGAAGAAAGAAGCTGAAACTCAAAACCCTAGTACCCTATTCTTCTTCCGTTCTTCCTTCTTCGTCTATCATCGCCAACCACCGTTGCCCGTTCGTACTCTGTCTCTCTCTCTCAGGTGAGGCAAGGCCACAACTCGCAGGCCCACAACAGTCCTCTCCCTCTCTTTCTCTCTTTTTGAAATCTCAAATACATCTCTCTTTCTCTCTTTTTGAAATCTCAAATAGATTACAGATGTGAGATGTTACAGATCTGAATCTACTTCAGTACAGATCTGAATCTACTCACAAGCCGCAAGTTTGAAGAGTTCCTATAAAACAGATTTGAGTCTCTCTCACAATCGGGGATTCGGTCTCCATAGAAGAGAATTTTCTTCCCCGACGGAGATCAGGGACGGAGAAATTGGAATTGGGGAGGGCAATGTAATCCCCGCCCAGAAACCGCCCCATTGCCATTCCTATTCCTAAGTAGGACAAGGGACGTTGGAAGCTTGACTTCACCAACACAGCCAAAGTTAATTCATTTACTACCATCTCTTTACAACATTCACTGCACATAAAATAATCTTTGATTGGAGAAACAACAACGTTGCACTCAATCAACTGCTACAAGCATCTATACCAATGACCAGGCAATCCAAAGAATTTTTAGGCCTAAAAAGATTCAAGCACCAAGAAATCTAAATCTAACCACAAATAACCCTTAAAAGTGACACCCATGCACCTAATCTGGACTGAAGACTGGTGAAAGAGCTCCAGAAGCAAACCCCAGAGAAAAGGTTACTACATTCCTTGGATTGACATTGAACTTCCCACCTCCCAAAGATGTCATAGAAGTGGTTTGTCCCCCTAGTACTCGTTACTCAATTGTCAACAAGTAAAGGGTCTTTTAGGTTTTCCCATTCTCTCTTGTATTTTAGTATGTAAAAACAGACAAGCGAAATTCCAATTACCATGCATGGTTTCTCATACAAGGATTTTGGCTTGCCACAAGGTGGGAAAAACATACTACAGTCTCTAGCAGATTAACACCATATTAGTTAGTCTGAAAACTTCCATGTTTGTTGCCTTTGTGCTGATACTTGAACTTATCATCAGTTACCCTTTCCATAGGTGGCAAAGAAATTTGGTAGGAAGCAATCATTTCTCCACTAAAGATCAACAAGGCAAAAAGTGGCAAACTTAGCTAAGACTGCTAGAAATTAAAAATGTAAGGCACACGGTTCACTTAAGAACTAGGTCCACAAAAAGCTTCCTGAGAGAATATCACTAACTACTTCCCAAAGCAAAACAGTGCATCTACAACAGGAACTTCAGAATAGGATACCCATAATGGAACAAACTAATGTTTGTGAACCGAACCCATCGGTCATACTGCAGTAACTTAGAAACTTGAAATAGAGAGCCTCGAAAACTGCACAAGGAAAACTCACAACACCAATCCCACATCTAATCTAAATGTACCAAAAGCAAAAGGCATGATTTTTCACTTGCTCTGCCTTAGCTAGGTCTTCTACATGAGACATTGTCTCCTCACTGCCACAAGAAAGAATTCAACTAATATGATTTCTGTTCTCAACTCAAGAACCATATAATATATTCCACCATGTTGAACTTCGCTGCAATGAACATAATGTCAATTCGATTAAGCCCCTTCAAGAAGATACACCCCTCACAATCATAGTATGTCACTGAGAAACAAATTCTATACATTTTAACCTTCATCCCCTTGTACCTTAGAACAAACCATTTCTCCTCATAACCAACAGACTTCTGCCCATTCTGTGAGCTTAGAAGTTACATTCCTACTCTAGGAAAGGAAAACCCACAACTGTTCACAATTATGCTTACGAAAAATCTGATCAAAAAAGAAAAATTAACAAAAATTTTGATGGATCAACCCATACACAAGAAAAAGTTAATGAGATCAATTGTCAACGATTATTAGTAGGTTGTACATTATTCTGTAAAATCATTAGCTTCGATGCATTCAATAGCATGATATCATTCAATGAAATCCACACATGCACAAGCCCATGATGTTTAAGAACTTAAATATAAAAGGGGATCGCAGGTCTGGTCATCTGAAACTTGCTTACAATGTAAAGAAATTCAATAGAAACAAAGGCATATCATAGACAGCTTAATAGGAATTCTTGGTCAGATTCCAATTAAGAATTTAATAGACAACAGAGTTGCTTGAACCAAACATGAACGAATTCCCAACATCTGAGACTAAAGACATAATCTTCACAACACAGATGAGACAAAGAACCACGAAACATCCACACCCACATACAACTCTCTTCCAATTAGTCACTGATAGAGAAAAAACCAAATCTGATCCAAGCATCTAACCCCCCCCCCCTTTTCTTCCCTCTATAATCAATCTGCTGTTATTTCTTGTTGCTGCTTTTACCTTTAGTGTCCCCTCCTCCGGCAGCAGCCTGTGAAGCTTTCTTCGCTGCCTTCTCTTGCAGCGCCTTCGCATCCCTGCTCATAAAATATTTAGAGCAAAAAAAAATCAAAACAAATTCCTGATCGGAACCAATACCCAGGAAAGAAAAGAAAAAATAAATCACAAACTAGGAAAAAAAAAAGAATAAAGAACACGAACCTCTCACGGCGTTGTTCAGGGGTCAACCCATCGTCTTTTGATTTCGCCTTCGAGCCAGTCCTGGCAAGAGCCCTTTCACGATCCCGATCTCTCTGGTTACCACGTTAGATCGAATTAAGGTCAAACAAGATCAAGAAGTAACCCAGAAATTATAAACAAAAATGATCAAACTAAACCACGTACTCCCAGAAAAATGAAACGAAGAAGACAGTAAAAGAACTCAAAAAAAAAGGTTTCAGATAAGGAAAAAAAAAAAAAAACACAAAATCTGCAGATTAAGGATATGGGTCATTCTCGAACAGCCCAAAGAAGACCTCCCTTCAAAGATACACTGCAAAATACGCCATTAAAGCACCATCAGCAACCAAAAAAACGGGAAAAAAAAAAAACAGAGAAGCGACGCATATGGGAGAAAGAAAGAAGCAGATTGCAAAAGAGAGGGAGACAGACCTGATGGAGGGCTTCCGAATGGATGGCTGGATCTGTTGAGTCGGTCTTAAACCTTTACTAAATTCAGCAAGAGAAAATGGGAGGGAGTAAGAAATTATTTATAGCTCAAAAGTCTCCGAAGTCCGCCGATTTTCCGAAGAGTCTAGAAGTCGTGCAATCGCCAATCGTGTTTTGTTATATAAAAGTCTACCAAAACTAAAAGAGTTCCATGATTCAACCATGTTCTTGTCCACTGAAATTATGTAAGGCTGTTTGGTGGGTTTAGGTAGTTTCTGATTTCTTTTTTTTTTTTTTCCTGATGTTGATGATAGAGTTCTTCTCGAATAAATTTTAATTTTAGTGGTGCAACATGGTCGGATCTAACCGGAGATCAGCCTAATTCAATCCCCAATTTTGGATGGGTTGGGCTTGAATTTAAATTCAGGCTAGGGCTGGATTCGGCCCAAGTCCAATCTGACTTTATTTCAATTCATCAACGGACCGGTTTTGGATTGTACTCCGTCCAGTCTAAAATCAATTAGGACGAATTGGACGGACCAACAAGACATATTGGATTAGACCATTTTAGTCCACAATATTTATTTGATTGGATTAGACCTCATCCGTTCATAATAAATTTATATTGAATTGAGTTGGATTAAGCCAATATCTGGTCCATTGATCTAAGATAAGAATATAGGTGTAAATTGATCAAATTTGGGTTGAAACCAATCCAAATCGAAACGAATTTGAACAGATTTGATTGTCTAGACATTGAATTGGACAGGTCCAAAATATTCATTAGATCGGATTGGACCTAATCCATTTATAATGGATTCACATTGGAGTGGATCGGATTGAACCAAATCCAATCCAATTGACACCCCTACCTGGGTAGGCTCGAGTTGGGCTTTTGTCAAAATTTAATGGGCTCTGCTCAAAGGTGTCCAAATAGCGTAAAATACTAATTCGGCCAATCCGAATTACGAGCCCACTAATTAAAGACATGATTAAATAAATGGAAAAATCTATGATGCGGAAAAGATATGGTATGGGAAGAGTTTTGACCAATCAAAACCCACCCATGAATTTTGAAAAATAACACCTGATTGGCTACCACCTTTATGATTCCAGTTGACTGGTCAGAAGTTTTTTCAGATATCATATATTTTCCATATCATAGTGGAACCCTAAATAAATATATTTATAACACATATTTGCATGTGCATATACATATGTAAAATTCTAGTGCATATTGATTAACTAACCTATGGGCTTGGGTTGGGTAGATTGAGCTTAACCTCATGTTTGGGCCTAAGTTGTGAATCTCATGTATTTCCAAGTTTGTATTTGATCGGACATTACTTGTGTAATGTAGTAAGTGTTCTTAATAGATATCAAAGCATCCTTGGAGAAAGTCTTGAGATTTTTTGCAAAGGATTAAGGACTTAATGGATGCATAAAGTAGATCTCATACCCTTAACATAATTGGGCATTCAAATTCGGATTATTCTGGTCGTTTAGATGATAAGGAAGTCAACATTTAGTTATGTGTTCATGTTGGCATGGAAGTTGTACCTTTGTAGAAGAGTGTTAAGCAATTATTCACAACATTTTAATAAGCCATCTAGCTATAAAAGTTTTATCTCAAGGTTTTGGGTCAGTAATATTTCCAAAACATCAAGGAATTACTATGATAATTGTACAGTTATTTTCTTCTCAATGAATAAAAACAGTTTAGTGCATCTAAACACATGGAGATATAGCTTTCTTGTTATAAGAAAGAAAGTTCAAGAATAGAAAATTGTTGTGAAGCACATCAATACTACTACCATGATTGTTGATCAACTGACCAAGGCTTTAGATGATAATTATTTATGAAACATGCAACCCACATGGGTATTGTAGGATCATTTAATTCGCTTGATTATTGGGGTGTCATTTTGTTAGCATATTGTTTTGGCATTGCTATTATTCACATAAAGGGCAATGTGCTTCATTTGTTTGTGTTTTTCTTTGTTATAAGGCTTTGAATGCATTATAAACACGGTCCAAAGTATCAAAAAAACAAGGTGTATCGAAAAAGTAATTTTAAGATATGTATTAGAATTACACCTTGGATACAAATAAATATGGATGAAAAATCAAGATACATGTGGATACGTTAAAAAATCTAAAAAAATCCACAAAATTATATTAATAACAATAAAAGCGAGTTTTATATGATTATAACTAGTTTACTTAAACATAAAAAAAACCATACTTTACTGGTTTTTATAAAGTACCGGGACACAATTGGTAACCATTGAAAAATAATAGAAGAATTAAAATGTGTGTGTATACTAATATTTATTAGTTAGTATTTTTTACGCCATTTATTAGTTAATATTTATTATGTATATAAGTTAATATATATATATATATATATATATATATATACCTTAAGTTTTAGTAAATAAATAAAATTTGTATTAATATTTATTAGTATATAAATTTTAATAATCAAATTTTAGCATTTATTGAGTAACATCCACTAAGAGAAGGAAGATTACTTAAGATTCAAATTGCATATTATTAAGATAAGCAATTAAGCTATGGCATAGAGGTGGATTAATGGTTGTTATAAATGAATAACAAAGGTTTAAAACTTCCTACCTTCAACTTATTGTTTTAAGTTTTAACAAGTTATTTTGGTGGTGTATTAAATTTTATTGGCTTAATTAGCATTTAATGACGTCTCAAATTCAATGGCTTAATTAAAAGTGATATAAATGAGAGATGAGAGAGGGAAATAGAAATTAAATTTGAATCTGAATTTGAAAAGTGGAAAGAGTGGGAGATTAAAATATAGATGGTATCAGCTAATACATACTATATACCGTTTCATTTATTGTATCAACCAATACAAACCTAAAAAGATCCAATATGAGGTCGATATGAGCCCATCTCAGTCCAATATGAATGAAAAATGTGAAACTATGTAATTCTATATATTCATGTATTGGACCCCTCTCACAATAATACATATCAACCCGTATTGATTGATACATTGCAAAATTTTAAACCTTGATTACAAATAAGAAGGGTTTAAGAGATCATAAACGGATAAAAGATGTAATTGATCACCACATCATACAAGTTATTTCACATTAACATTCTAGACTATGGAGAATGAAAGTGTTGATACAGTGACCAAGGAATCACACTATGCCGTAAATAAGATATAGTGACTTTGATGATCTTGCATTGATAATTTTGTATGTATCAGTTTAGTTTTATGTGTCATAAAGAGTGAAAATAGGGTGAGTTTTTCTTAAGTGTAGCCATGTGTCAAAATTGTTTTCTTTTTAAGGATGATTGCAAGGAATGACCATTAATGTTTTGTAACTAGCAAGCCCATCATTGGCATTTAACGCAATTATCGAATAGTCACCATGCATGGTGGGCAAGTGAACCGTCGGTGAATCCTCTAGTTAAGGAGGCCCCCACCCTCAAGCTATCGATTCCACACACCTTGTACTCCTATAGTTGCTTGATAGTAGACCTATTCATGGGTTGGGCTTAGGTTCAAGTTTTTCTGAATTTTGAAGGGGCCTGGCCCAAAGCTCAAGCCCAAAGCAATGTAAATTTAAGCCCAATATGCTGCCCATGAATAGGTCTACTTAGGTGTGCAACTCGAGTAGGTTGGGTTGTGTTGAAGGTGCAAACCATAGGCTCAGGCCAAGCCCATCCCAAGGTTAAGCCCAAGTTTATCAACCCAAATCTCAACACTTAATTTTTGCTCGGTCCCTTCACCCTACCTCTTTGTACCCTACTTTTAAGCCCCAAAATTTGGGAATACAACCAAATCAAATTGAGATTTTACAAAGCCAAATTTTCCTCTTTCGACACAATATACAAGATAAATGAAAACCTTGAAATCAACATCAACATCCAATCAAATATGCCCTACAAACTTAGGAAACTATAAATTAATCACACATCTACTATTCATCATGTCAATTTCCATTCTAACGGCCCCAGTTTACCCAAATTTTAACTCCCAAAATCAAAACCAACACATCCATTGCCTCAAAATCACTAGGACACAATCAACTAGCAAAATCCTACCACAAATATATGACAATCAACCATAAAAAACACCAAGGTCCCATTTTTATGGCCCTGAACAATTACCAATGTCAACTATTTCGTTTTTATATCATAACCATCCACTTGACTTCTCACCTTAATCTGTGTCTACCCACCAAAATTCCCCCATTTGACCCACCACCAAGTCTACATCCTATTTTAACAAACCTTATTGATTAGAGCTTATCATCCATCATCCCACCTTCATTTGACCAATCAAACCTCACCACAGTGTTCGAAAACTCAAACAAAAACCAATACGTCAAATTTCACGACCAAACTCCTTCATTTGACTATTGAAAAGTGAGATTTTATTTTGGGCCCTCTCGTTGATCTAAATATGTTAATCTACTCCTCTGTTCAAAGATCCATATCTTCCATCAGATTCAAGATGTTCAAAAGTGTCTAACCACCAAATTTCATCACAAAATTCCCCCATTTAACCCTGCATCAAACAAAGTTTCTATTTTAGCAAACCTCGTTAGATATGAACTTATCAACCATAGATCTCCATCATTTCATCTTCATTTGACTAATTAGACC